AAGGACGCCTATATCGCTATCTTCGAGGATGGCCTAAAGGACGACGTTAAGGACGAGTTAGTTCGGATCGACCGACCTAAGACTATTAGCGAAATGATCGAAACATCGGTCCGCATTAATAACCGATTATACGAACGATACCTCTAACGTAAGGAAACCCGCTAGTAGAGAAGCTAAGGATAGCGATCCTTCGGATATACCCGCCGTCACGAGGGCCGGCGAGGGTAGCGATAATAACCTAGGGAGTATAGCGACCCCTATAGACCACGACCTATGGAGCTCGACGTAGCGAGACTCCCCGCCGAAGAAGAGAAAAGGCGTAAGGATAATAACTTATGCTTTGAATATGGAAAAGTAGGATATCGGGCGCGTGAGTATAACAATAAGCGTAATAACGCAAAGCTATAGGCGCGTGAGCGTAATAACGGACGTAATAACGTAAAGCTATAATAGCTAAGGGTAACGTAGGATAACGAGGTCCGATCCTAGTAACTTAGAGCCACCTACGACGGGACAGAGCGTCTAAAAGAAGCGATCACTAGGGTAACTCCGGACGAGTATAAGCACCTAAAGGACTAGGTTACCTAGTGGGTAACCGAAGAACCACTAGTTAGGAAAGAACCTAGGGTTAAGTAATCACGTATCGCGACTACGTGGCTAGATAAGGAGTACCGCGGCCTAAATAGCGTAGCGTACGCGAAGGAAGAGTCTCCTAAAGAAGAGGAGAACATCGAGAGTTAAGGATGGACCTAGTACGGTCCCTAGAACACTATCGACTCCTAGGAACTATCTAACGATTCCTAAGAATAGGGTATAGGGATCCTGAAGACACCAATCGAGATTCTAGGAACCCCGGAGATCCTAGAAACTCTACCCTAGTTCCCGGAAGCGGATACGACTAAATAGCCTTAAGAGAACCCTATAGACGATCTAATCATTAAATATTTAAATTAGATTTACTAGGTATAAGGACTTATTAAGACTAACCTCTTATCTACTAAGACACTACGAGAGCTTAGTAATATACTTAATAATCTCTAAGGAATTAATAGCGGGATACGCGAATAATAGTAATGCCCCTACTATAGTAACGAATATTCGTGTAGAGGGTACGTACGTTACCCTAATCACGGTCTTAGAACCGTATTAGCGTATTACGACGATAACTATATAATATATTACTAAGGAAAAATCGAAAGAAGCCTAGAACTAAAGCCGCTACACTAGGAAAAGAAACTAAATTAGAAGCTAGAATACGCGGGACTCTAGTTCGGAAACCGGAGGATAAACGAATAATACCTCGTAGCTACTATATAGGGCGCGTACGTGAAGATTTTTGCTAATATCGCACTTCGATCGACTAAAGTAATAATCGACTCGGGAGCGGTAGGAAACTTTATAAGCCTACGATACAAACAGTAATATAAGATTAAAGGTATAGAGAAACCACGAATAGTACCTTTAATCGGGCTTAACGGAGAGAGCCTAGGGCCGGGTATCACACACGAGAGTAGACCACTACTAATAGTTATCGGAGACCATTTCGAAGTTATTAACTTCGATATCACTCCCTTAGGTATATACGACGTTATACTAGGAGTACTATAGCTAAGGAAGCATAACCTAGCTATCGATTAGTAGGTTAGGAATATAGTCTTCGATAGATACTCGTGTCGACAGACTAGCGAAGTGTGGACTAGAAAGATCGAGCCGATACCGCTAAAGAGACCTAGTAATAGGGAAGTAGGTACTTATAAGATCCCTTACGAAGGAAGTTACGAAAGGAGTTCTCGGCTAGGAGGTAGGCCTAATAAACGAGTGAGCGATATTACCGATATCGTTAATAAGGAATAACGACTAGATATAACGGACGAAGAACTTAAGGAATATATTCTCGTTAACGACGACGTAACTACCCTCTATATAATAGGATTACTAGAGGAAGAATATAGGATTCCTAAGGAATATAAGGAATTCTAGGATATATTTACGCTACTACTAGACGGTAAGCTACTAGAGTATGGTCCGTTTAACCATAAAATCAAGATTAAGGATAGCTAAGAGCTAAAGTTCATACTAATTTACCTACTATCGTAGAAGGAATCTACGGTACTAGACGAATATATTAAGGAAAACCTTAAGAAAGGGAATATTTAATACTCTAAGTTATTAGTAGGATACCTAATCCTATTCGTACCTAAGAAGGGAGGAGAACTTAGAATATGCGTTAACTACCGATAACTTAACGATATTACTATTAAAGACCGGCACCTACTACCGTTAATTAACGAAATTCAAGATATTATTTAAGAAGTAAAATACTTTAGTAAGTACGATATCACTAATATATATAACCGACTTAGAATTAGGAAAGGAGACGAGTAGAAAATAGTATTTAGGACTAAGTTTAGATATTTCGAATATAAGGTTATGCCATTCGGTCTCACTAACGCACTAGCATCGTTTTAATAATTTATCTTTCACGCTTTAAACGGGTACCTCGATAAGTTCGTTATCGTATATCTCGATAATATCCTCGTATTTTTAAAGACTAAGGAAGAACACGTCTAGTATAATAAAATAGTACTATAACGGTTAAGGGAAGTAAAGGTTACGCTTAAGCTTAAGAAATATAAATTCCACGTTTAGAACACTAGTTTCCTCGGATACACTATCAGCCCTAACGGATTAGGGATAGAGGAAGACAAGGTTAGAAGTATCCTCGAATGGCTAATACCGATATACGTTAAGGACGTATAGAGTTTCCTTAGACTAACTAACTACTATCGAAAATTAGTACCGTAATACTCGAAATATATAGCAGGACTCTACCGGTTTACTAAGAAAGGTGACAGATCCTAGTGTATCGGGGGCTGATCCACATAGGACGAAAGGGGACTAGGCAGTAGCTTCCTCTTGGTCATAGGATCCTACTGTCTAGGAAAGGAAAGAATGTCTTGAGAACAATAAAGTCGATTGAACTGCTGGCTAAA